AAGTAAATGCATCATAACAGATACTGACACGTAATGACTAGCACGTAATAAAAAAAATTACGCTTCAGTTTTATAAAAATGTGTAATATCACATAAGCCTTGTAAGTCAGTTGGTCAAGTTACCATGGAAACGAATTAACAGACGTTATTTTGACAGATTAAAAATTATTAATCTGTCAGTGTAAATATAGTGGTAATTTAATTTTTATTTTTATAAACGAAAATAATGGTAGAAAAAGTATAGTACACAACTTAAGTTGTAAGCTTATTACATGCTTGTAAAATTACTGCGCTCGCCGCTAGGCGGCTGGCGCGCAACTTTTTTACTCGCATGTAATAAGTTTATTACAACTCTCGTTATGTAATATACTATAACGTTGTTTTGTACTTGCTATAACTTATTACTTTTAAAGCCAGTTATCTCGGGACAAGCCTAAAATATTAAGGAGAGGTATTTATATGATCTACTCTTTTTAATTTTTTTTTAAAACATCAAGTTCTCCCTAATGTTATATTTCATTTATATGTGCATGTGTCTATATCTATTATATTGAAAGATTTCGCTTTTTTTACATGTTACGGTAGATTTAATTGTATTTCTTGTTATTGGAATTCACCCGTCTGGTGATTCAGTTATTGAATATATTTTGTTTTGTTTACCTACTGAATTTTATTTGTCTACTCCTAATAAGTTGTCTGATAATATAGTATCTCTGAATATTTGCTAATAAAAATATTTAACTATCACGATATCTTCGACCAGGAGAAAGATCAGGCTTTATATGTTTGTAGGTTAGTAGGTTATATATGTTAGGTTAGGTGTGGTTAGGCTTTATATGTTTCCGATCTTGCTGTATGGCGTGGAGGCCTGGACGCTGACGGAGACGCTAACGAGAAAACTAGAAGCATTCGAAATGTGGGTGTACCGACGCATTCTTGGTATATCCTGGACCGAACATGTCACCAACATAGAGGTACTGCAAAGAATCGGAAAGGAGAAAGAAATCGTAAATACAATTAAACAAAGAAAGCTTGAATATCTAGGCCACATATTGAGACACGATAAGTACCGTCACAGAAGACACTCGTGGCTCCAAAATCTGCGGAAGTGGTTCGGGCTCACATCGATCGAACTATTTAGAAGCGCCGCAAACAAGATCAAAATTGCCATGTTAATAGCCAACGTTCGCAACGGGGAGGGCACTTGAAGAAGAAGAGGTAAGTAGGTGGACGAAATCCACCGAACATATTATTTATTATTTGTTTATGTAGTGTGTTGACCACATTTATTTAATAATTAACTGTTAATAATTTTCTTGTATTTGCTCTCAGAACCTAAATATCTCTCCTTATCTCTTTTTATTTCTAAAGTTTCTTAATTTTCCCCCTGTCTTTTCTAATCTATCTTATCTTGCCTTATCTTTATAATTTCTTCTGTTAGATCCATTCCCGGTTCCAAAAGCTAGTTTCGAACCCCCGAATCGCTCTCCACCAACCATCTAGCTACCGTTTGCAGTGTCTCCATTGGTGACCTTTCCAGCACCATCGAAAGAAGGTTTCCGAGGTTACAATTTCATACATTATGGTTGGCTACTACAATTGCAAACTCTTTTCTGTCTTCAGCTATTCTAAGTAGCTGTTCAAAATTTAACCCTGTCCATTGTCGGATGTTTATTAGTCACGGTAGTGTTTTCCTTCCTAGTTCTCTCTTTCCCTTTATTTTTTCTTTAACTATTAGTTGAGCATATTGATACTTATTATATTTTAGTATGTTGCCTAGGTATTATGTTTTTCTAACTTTCACTGTGTTGAAGGGGTGTAGAGCTAGTTCGCGTCCGTAGTAGAATACTACACGTGCACCCTGGGTAACGCTAAATGAACTAGCACATACTGGCAGCCAGACAATAATTAGGATCTCCTGACCAAACAACACTTCCGACAACACGAAAGATGATAAACAAAATAAACGTCCCTTGTGAGGACCGCACAACCAGACCAATCAGACCTATAGTTCGAATTTGCCATATAAACATAGAAGGCATAAGCTATGCTAAAAGCCAGTTTTTATCAATATTATTAAAAGATGACAACATTGACTTAGTTGCTAACCCACTGCGAAACAGAGAAGCAACTTCAAAAAAGGGGCAAAATACCGGGCTATGAACTATTAGGCGCAACACTGATTTTAAATGTGGTCACAAAAATCGCTAGCATTACCGTGTCCAACATTTACAAGCCACCTGCTACGTTGGAGATTACAATAGCCATTATGAACAGTGGAAGTAGTGATGCGAATGGGAATGCTTTAATAAAATGGGCAGAAGACGAACGCCTGGACCTTTTGTTTGATGCCAAAGATCGACCAACCTTCAGATCGCGGAGAGGTGGTGGTGAGGTGGGGTTATATATATATATATATATTTTGGAGGAGGGGGGGGGGTGGGGGGGGTGGGGGGGGGGGTGGGGTATGGTAGTAAAGGGTAAGTGAGGGGAGAGGGGTAAGTTATTATTTGGTAGGTAAGGGTGGGGGGAGGATATAGGTGGTGAGAGTTAGTTGGGAAATATATGAATTTATGAGGTAATGTTGGTGTGTTGGGGGTTAGGATTTGAAAGGTTGGTGGAGTGAAAAGAATTGTTGGGGTTTGTGGGTTCCTTGGACTTAGGGTGGTAATGAGAGGGGTGATCGGTGTTTTGCAGAGTGGGGTTTGTGATCAGTTTTGATATTTATTAGTAAGTGGGGGGGTGGGAGTGGAGTTGGAGGTGAAATTTATCTATATGTAGATGTGGCCATAGCGCAGAATAGGGTTGTTGGTACTGGCAGGGCGAGTTTTGTGCGAGGTTATTGAGATGGCCTGTGCGTAGGGTTCGTGGCGTACCATTGTATGTGAGGTGCGGATAGTCGACGGTATCTGCCTAGTACCGCGCTAGAAACCAAAGGTGACCGTATACAGTAGTATAAGTCTAAATACTTCCTAGAAATCTAAGCAGTACAGGCAATGGTCGTGTACTAGAAAATTAGTTGGAGTGGGGGTCCGGACGAAACGCAGAAAGGCAGCCGTAGAGCCAGATGCCGTAACATCACATATAGTAAAAACATCCAGGGCACCAAAGGATAAAGCACACACCATAGACGTAAAGAGAGAACTTAAAACTTTGAAACATGTAGGTACAAAAACGAAGCATTCCCTCCCCTTCACCAGCGAAGACATGTCAGAGGCTCTTAAAGACGTTAAGCCAGCAGAAGCACCAGGATTTGATAATATTCACCCTGAATTCCTAATAAATTGTGGCAAGTATACAAAAGTTTGGCTGGCTCGATTTGGCTAGCTGATCGAAGAATGATACATGAGGAGTTCAACATCACGAATGCATGGTTTCAAGAATGGAATGCATGGCAAAATAACATGCCCTGCATTACAGACAAGCCACCAGGTTTTGATCTTTTACGCAAAATATTATCCACTCTAAATAGGATCTGAACCAGACATGGCAGATGTGCATACATGCTACATAAATGGGGCAAGAACCCGTCTTCTCCATGTGACTGTGGGGAGAACCAAACCATTGACCACATTATTGAAGGACATAGACGAGGGAATACTTATAAACGGAGAACGATTGGACAACATAAGGTACGATGATACTGTCATTTTTTCAGACAGTCTCGAAGGTCTGCAGATACTTGTCTCCAGGGTGGCAGAAGTAAGTAGCAGGTTTGGTCTTGATTTTAACATCAAAAAAACCAAATACATGGTTATAAGCAAAAATAGGATACCGCCTGGTCAATTACTAGTTAACCAACAACCTATAACACAAATCACCAACTTTTGTTATCTGGATGCAAACTTAAATGAACAGTGGGACCAATCGACGGAAATTAAGATAAGGATCGAGAAGGCAAGATCAGCTTTCGTCAAAATGAAAAAAATCTTTAACAGCCACGACATAAAATTAGAAATAAAAGTTCATTTACTAAATTTGCTACGTATTTTCCGTTCTTTTATATGGCGTGGAGTCATGGACTAACTGAAGCATCACTGCAGAGACTCGAAGCATTTGAGATGCGGTGCTATAGACGCATGTTGAGAATTTCCTGGATAGACAGAATTACCAACGAAGAAGTACTACATAGAATGGGTAAACACCACGAAGTAGTCGTAACCATAAAACGTCGCAAACTCGAATACCTGGGCCATCTAATGCGCAATGAACAACGATATGACCTACTTCGGACCATACTTCAAGGTAAAGTGCATGGGAAAAGAGGTCCAGGATGGAGAAGAATATCCTGACTGCATAATCTGCGAAAATGGTTTAACTTAACCACTACCAGACTTTTTAGGGCAGCAGTCAACAAAGTCAGAATAGCCATGTTAGTGTCCAACATCCGTAACGGATAGGCACAATAAGAAGAAGAAGAAGTCCCTAGATCCTACAATGGTAGCCCTGAAGTCTTCCTGTTTGCAACTTCAGAGTTAATTGATTATATTAATAAACTTGATGTTTGTTTGTAACTATTTAAAGTTTGTCATATGCCTTATTAGTATTTGTAATTTTGTTCTAAATGTGTTGTAACATACGATAAATAAATAAATACTGTCTTGAACAGTTCTCGTTCCTTGCCTATTCTCTGCAATACTTATTTGTTTGAAATATGCGATTTCCATGAAATCTTAAGGATTCTCTGGTAGATACACATTTCTAAGGCCTATAATTTATTTACCATCAATGTTTTAAGGGCCCGTGTTGCAACTGCATAAAGAAGAGTCAACCAGATTTTGATAAACGTGGTCGAATTTTGAGTTTTACTCGAGAATCACATAGTCTCCAGATTTTTTCGAAAAATTTTCTGGGCTGTTTTATTCTCGATATTATTTCTAGATTAGAATTTAGGCTGCTATCGATCCAATATCACAGGTATTTGAACTTGTTGACCTGTTCTAAAATGTGATTTGCAAAATCACTATTGTAATATAATTATCAAAAAAGATTATACTTACCAACTGGAAATATTCCCCAACAAATATCAGAACACTCTTTTCGTCGAACCATTTGACAAGTATCATTTGCATAACATTTCCGTTCACTTATAAAACAACAATTGTCTTCCTGAACTACTGATGACTCTTCTTTATTGAAATGTACTGTTATCGAATTTTCATTGGATGGATTAAGAGATATAGGCATAGAAATGTTGTTGACTGTGTTTATGGTATTTGTGAAAGTCAGCTCCATGGTACTATTATTTATGTTGGTGTTATTGACAATGTTTTCACCACCCGAGGAACTTTGCTGAGGCTGCGGAAATGGTACCAGAATAGGCCTCACTTCTTCTCTTGATTCAGGAACATTTTGTTGTCTTTCGTTGCAAGGGCTACTGTTGCAATTATTGTTGTTGCATGGGCTACTGTTACAATTGTTGCTGTTGCAAGGGCTACTGTTACAATTGTTGTTGTTGCAAGGCCGATTGTTACAATTGTTGTTACAATTTCCACTATTACAATTGTTGTTGTAGCAGGGACTATTATTACAATTATTGTTGTTATTGCATGGTGTAGAACAAGAGCTGCCACATGAATAATTATTACAATCTCGTTTAACTATTGACTTGGTCCATGCTGCTTGGAATACGCAGAGTAGGATAAAGCCAATAAGTAGCTTCATCTAAAAAAAAAGAAGTAATTTCAATTTTGGATAGTTTGAGAAAGTATTAAACATATATAAAAACTGTCTTCTGCAATCTTTTAATGAAAAAGGCTTCTTCTTTACAGGTCATTGAAAACAAAAAGGCAATGTGTTTGACGCTGTAATGGAGGGTTCTTAGAGTATATTTTTTTCGATGCAAATTTAAAGCTAAAATTATGACTCATATCATTCAGGCTTATATTTTCAGATTATTGGAAATGTAATATTCGTTTTTGTTTGTTACGATTATTGTTGTTTTCATTACAAACATGCTAATTGAGTGCTGACATTGAGTGACATACTGAGTTTTTTTACGTTGCTTAAAAACTGGAGAAAATATTACAAACTTTCTCATTAGAATAATGTTCAATCACAAATTAATCCCTTAATTTGTAATCTCACGTTATTCTTAACTTTTTAACCTTTTATAATTTCACCGTGTATAACTGAAATATTGTGAAAACTATATCGAGTAATATTTTAATAATTAACGTCTATTCACCTGCAAATTTGCACTTAATAAATTGTCGAATAATATATTTCCAAATTGAACTTCCTCTAGTGTTGCAATAATGGCCTAGATTAAATTGTATTTGTAAGCTCATAGTTCAAAGATTGTTAGTATGATAGAAGCATTAACCTCCGTGCTGAGGTATACATCATTTGTGAAATTATAATTTGGGCTCATTTGAGCGCCGTCTATTGTAGAAAGTTACTTAACCAACATCTATAGTGTAATTATTAATAGCTGTCAATAAAACTATAATTTTTACTCCACAACTTTTACGTTTTATTGTCTTTACCATCGTCGATCGAGAAGAAGCGGACAAAGGGGCATTACAAAACGATTAGATCTTTATAATTACATTCGAATCTGTTTAATAATTTAAAGAATCTGCAAGCTGACATGCATAATAAGAATAATTTTTAGAGTTACATATAAATCATCATTTGCTTTTTCTTTATCTCTTCTGATTATATCCCTACCAATTCTTTTTTCGATTTTCTCTTCTACTCCTTTCATGAACTTCAACTTATGTTTCATGAACTCAATATTTGTTTTAATTGAGTAATTATCATTTAAATGTTGAACATGCCCTAACCGTTTTAGCCTATGCTCTTTGATTGTAGCATCAATTGGTGCCACCTAAGTACATTAACGTATGCACAGATAGTCAAGCTGATTTCTGAGCTCTTAGAAAATGCTAGGGTAGTATCTAGGCTAGTGTGAAAATGCCGAGCAGTCGATAGATTATAACTATGATCTTAGATTGTAGCATTAATTGGTGTTACTCAAGCAGATCAACGTATGCATAGATAGCCGAGCTGCTTTGGAAATTGTTAGAAATCTTAGGGTAAACTCTAGGCTAGTGTAGGAATGTCAAAAATTCGATAGACTGTCAGAGCATAACTGTATCACACTGGTGTGAGTACCAAGTCATCGAGGAATAGACGACAAAAGAGCAGATGAACTTGCTTAATAAAACGGCTACAAAATAATTCGGTCCAGAGTCAGCCTTAACACGTTGTCAGCCTTAATTTTTGTTTTAAGTTCAGTTTTTGGCTTTTACAATTTTTTTTTTTTTGAGCGGTCTCATTAACCTTAATTTTGTTTCGTGCAGCAGTATTAAATTTATTGATTTTAGATTCGTGACGAAAACAAACAAATAACTGTAGACGGGTACAGCAGTATCGAATGAAGTTATCCAGTAGGACTCACCAAAAATTTATTTTCAACCCTGAAAACACTGCTGAGAATCTTTATGTGACACAGAAACTTATGAATGGCGATGATATTGCTGAAAATCGCCGTCTCTATGCTTGGACACCAACAAACGTAAAAGAAATAAAAAAGTTTCTGGTTACAGTAGGTTACATAGGGTTAGTCAAACTACCTAGACCAGAAACATATTAAAGTAAACGCAAACTATATCAAAATAGCATAGTTGGTAAGTTACGATTCGAAATCGTTTCGTCCTTCTCCTAAATATCTGGCATTTCACAGACAGCGATATGTGTCTTGAAAGTGATCTTAGTTTTAAAATTGATCAAAAGACTGATAGTTTTTTGTACACACTTATGACAAGTCGAAAGAAAATGCAAAAAAGTATTTTTGAAGTGTGTATATTTTAGGCAATTCCTAGCTGAGCGCTTTCGGCTTTACAAAGCCATCATCAGAGCTATGCTACAATAAAATGTTCTAGTAAGTACTAATTGGTAAAGATTGTAATTTTTAACTTACGTCAATTTTTAAATACCACTACAAAGGAGAGATCTCATTTCCTTAAGTTTCAAAATTATGATTTTTTGTAGGAGTTGGAATTCTTAAAACATATAAAAAACATATAAAAAGTCGACACTGGACTTCACAAACACGTTAAAAAATTTTTGTCATGGTACGGGTTTAAGACCCGACCATCTATTGATGTGAGGACGTAGACTGAATAGAACTAGTGAAATCAAATGTCGGTCCTTTTAAACGATTTTTCAAAAGTGACAGGTGACAAATGTCATATATAGGAAATAGAGATTGTTTTTTTAAATTCTTACAAAATTATTTAGTAGTTTGGAATTACTACTAGTCAACAAAGACTTTCTAAAAATTAAGTTTTTAAATTAAATTTTATGTGTTCATCACATCATACAGAATGACATTAATTTGTAAATTCACTCAAGTCATTGCTCAAGGTCAATGTATGTTCAATCTGACAGCTATCCTTAAGGAACAAGGGCTCAAATTGTTCAACAACACTATAAAGAAGAAACCTGGTATTAATGTTATGTTATCTGATACTTAAGTGTATTAAGAATTGTATGTCTTGATGGAAAATTGTAAGAACTTTGCATAAAAATTTTTTAAGAATGTATTTTCATGTTTCAATTAAGAACAACTGTCAAATGAATTACAAAATGTTGTAAATTTTAATAAAGTTTAAAATTTGTTTAAAAAATAAAAGTATGAAAAATATATAACAAGATTGCATGAGGTCACCCTTCTTCCTCTAAAGTCTCCCATAATAATTTAAAAAGAGGTTTATAGTTGCAATTGAGGTTGATTTGTGTGTTTAAGCAACAATCAGGGTTTATTTTCATTTCTTTGGATATCTCTAGATCTTCCAAGAGATTCATGAGTCTAAAGTTTTTATTGGGAATGTTGTGTAAAATTTTACTGTTTTCAGAAGGAGAAAAAGAATGATTATTAAATTTAATGTGATATCCAAAGTTTGATTTTTCTGGGTTATTGAGGTGTTCTTTGATTCTTTGATTCAGAGTTCTCATTGTTCTACCTACATAAGTCATATTACAGTCACCACAGGACAGCTTGTAAATACCACTTCTGTTTAGTTTGTCAACTTTGTCTTTGGTCTTGCTGAAGATGGACTTGATGTTATATTTGGTTTTAAAGGAGATGTTTAAGTCATTAATTTTATTAACAAGTACTCTTGAAATTTTTTCTGAAATTGGTCCTAAGTAAGTTAAGGATCTATATATGGAAGTAGTGTTGGATTTGTTATCAACATTAAAAGCTTGGTTTAGTCTCTTTTTGAGTATAGATTTTCTAATGACTTTATCAACAGTAGTAGAAGGAAAACCATTGTTGTTTGCTATCTGTTTAATGATGGAGATTTCTTTATTGTAATTTTCTTGAGACATAGGGATATTAAGAAGTCTGTGGACATAACATTGAATAGCTGCCATCTTGTGTTGAAAAGGATGATTTGATGATGTTGGTATCATATGGTCAGTTTGAGTAGGTTTTCTGAATATTGAAAATTCTAGTGTAGGCAAAGAAGAAAAGGAGGAAGTATTCTTTTTATTGATAGTTAGGTCTAAAAAATTGATAATGTTGTTGCTTTCTACTTCTAAGGTAAAATTAATTGCAGGATGTAGATTATTAATTATTGACAAAATATTGTGAGGTTCTGAAGGTGGGCCTTCTATAAAGGCTAAAATGTCATCCACATATCTGTACCATAGGATTATTTGTGGTTGAGAATGAACAAAGTTAGTTTCGAGAGAGTCTAGAAAAAGATCTGCAAGTAGAGGAGATAAAGGATTTCCCATTGCTAAACCCTCTGGTTGTCTATAAATTTTATTGTTAAAGATAAAGAAATCTTGGGAAAGACAAAATTGGAGTAGAGAAGTAATTTGTGAACATTTATTTTGGTCAATGTTTTTTCTTTGTAGAAGGTTATTGATGATTGGAATGGTGTCTAATCTGGGAACATTGGTGAACAGATTTGTTACATCGAAGGAGACCATAGTGAAGTTATTCGGAAGAGTATGTGAAGAAATTTTGGAGATTAAATCTAAAGTGTTGGCAATAGTATATTTGGGAGTGTAATTAAGTAGATCTAGTAGAAGAGTGTTGATAAATTTTGCTAGTGAAGCTAGTGGGGTATTGACAAAACTAACTACAGGTCTTATTGGAACATTAGCTTTATGAATTTTAGGGAGACCATAAAGTCTTGGTATTAAAGGATTGCTAGAAATGAAAGTTTTGGGGTTAGTTCCAAGTTCTTGAAACAAATTACTTGCATTAGAAATGTTTGATTTTAGATCATTTATTTCATTAAATGATCTAAAATCAAACATTTCTAATGCAAGTAATTTGTTTCAAGAACTTGGAACTAACCCCAAAACTTTCATTTCTAGCAATCCTTTAATACCAAGACTTTATGGTCTCCCTAAAATTCATAAAGCTAATGTTCCAATAAGACCTGTAGTTAGTTTTGTCAATACCCCACTAGCTTCACTAGCAAAATTTATCAACACTCTTCTACTAGATCTACTTAATTACACTCCCAAATATACTATTGCCAACACTTTAGATTTAATCTCCAAAATTTCTTCACATACTCTTCCGAATAACTTCACTATGGTCTCCTTCGATGTAACAAATCTGTTCACCAATGTTCCCAGATTAGACACCATTCCAATCATCAATAACCTTCTACAAAGAAAAAACATTGACCAAA